CCACGCTTCCACGCCCCCCATGCCTCTACACCCCCACGTCTCCACGCCACATACCCCACACATCTGCGTCCCCACGCCTCCCCACCCACACGCCTCCACACAACCACGCGTCTGCGCCTCCTCTCCTCTTACACCACGTACCTGCGCCCCCACACCTCCACGCCTCCAAACCCCCACTCCGCACGCCTCCATAGACACAGACGAATGGACTGACAAACGAACGGTGGGACAAGGGAGCGAACGGGTGGTCAGGAAGAACAACCAAACGGAGGGACAGGCAAAAGGACGCTCTTAGATTTGTTTTATTCATAATTATTACGCATTTCCCAGTTTGAACAATACTAAATAATTAGTTTATGTAAATCTGGCCACCTTACTACGTACTTACGTATTAAAAAGAAAAAGTATTGCAATGATGCGGCAAATAATCGGCCTATTTTTGTCAGAGAATCTCATATTGATGGATCCTAATATCGAAAAAATTGATAAATCTTTTTCCTGTATGAAGTAAATTACCTTCAACGAGTGTAGTCAGAATACACGTTTTTGTGGGTCCTTCAAACCGGAAAAATGGTTGACGGCAAAACGTCCTGTATCTGTCTGCGTGTACGTATGTTTGTCAGTCTGTCTGTCTGCCTCCCTGTCTGTCTGTCCGCCTGCCTGCCTGTCTGTCTCCCTGTCTGTCTACCTCCCTGTCTGCCTGCCTGCCTGCCTGTCTATCTGCCTGCTTGTCTGTCGGTCATTCACCTCTCAGGATTTTCGAAAATTCCTAATGTTAGAAACAAAGCGAGAACGTATCTGCTGTTATAGCACCCCTAGTTTTACTCATAGAATTATTACCCACAGTATGCTGTTATCAAGTCGTGGTTTTGGTAAGCAGTGACATTTTTGAGTTGACAGTGACGCTCTGCGTACCAAGCGAAAATCCACCCAGCTTATAAGAAAACGGCTCCTTCTATCGTGACTAGCAGCAGTGCATTAAAAAGCAATTTTCATTACAGGAGACGATGTATCGGACTCCGAGTACCAAGGATGGGCCGAAGGGGAACCAAACAACAGTCCATGCGTGGTGGTCAACCACGACCTCTCCTTTGCCAGCGTTGGATGTGCTTTCAAGACTGGGTTCATATGCGAGCAAACCGACACTGTGTGAAAAGTTACTCAAGTGATATTCTAATTTCGCTGTAAAAATAGCCTTCTATCATTTTTTGTTAAATCTTTCCAGCTTATTTCAAATTTCATGTAATAAAAAAAGTTGAATTACTAATATATCATAAAATATGAGATTTCCTAAAAAATATAAATATATTTTTAAATTATTATTGAAAATTTATTTTTTTTAATATTTGTATGAACAAGCACAGTAAACTTTGTGAACTGTGTAAGTTCATTATAATGCGTAAACATTTCGAAGGCAATCGATTTCTGAATGAGGTTGATTAAGTAGCAGCTGCCGATGAAAATCAAGTTAAAAGATTCATTTATAGAATGTAAATGAAAATCTAATTCTTAGAAAATTTGATAATTCATTAATCAAATCTCTACGAATATGCGATGGAAAGTATTTCAATCTATGTTATGATACAACATAATGTACCATTATTTAAATTTAAAATGTTTTAACATCTTATCAAAAATAAAGAAAATCTTACATTCAGTATTTCAAACTAAATCCCCTTTATATTTTATCCCGATATCATTTACAAGTATCTATTTCCCTCCACAGGCATTTGAAGTCAAAGGCATGTACGTCAAACTGACATTAGTTAAGCAGAGGTTATCATGTGTTTTTAAACACGATCATCTTGGTCTCCTTCTTTCCTTCGTCTGGCAATCGGACGTATTAACCCGCTCGTAATCGCCCAGTGCCCAAATAACATGTGCAAAACATATAATAAATTGAATTTTGAAACTGTGCCAAAATGCTGTTATTTTACATTTTTTCTGTTACACATGAATAATAACAAAAGAACATGTTGAAAAATGGGTGTATTCAGAACTAGTGCGGAAGTGGGTCAAAATCCATTTTCATATTTGTTTTTGTCAAGGTTCTTAAAATTAAGATAACAATTAGAAGCGTGAATGTGTTACTTGTATTTAAACATTATCCATCAGATAAGTTATAAATATGTATTATTGATTAAATAAGCATTGAAAAGGGATTACGTAAAGAAATCTTCGAAATTGTGTTACTAGTTAGTTCATTAGAGCAAATCAAGCACTTTCAGTACACTTATCATTTCTTCAAAATCACTTAAGTTTTCACGCTACAAGTGCTGCATGACTGAAATACTTACTGAATCAGGAGAATGATGTAACAACAATTGTTTACTAAGTGCGGGGTTGGAATGGTTTCAGATAGTTATTTGTTTAAATGGGATTGTATCGTATGTTGCAGGGCTGAAAGTGGTAGATTATCTGTGTTTAGTATTGATCTTCTGCTGATAGTTGTTTGCTACTTTTGGTGTTCTTCTTTCTTCCTATACTAATATAGTAGATAGTTTGAAAGTCTCGATGAAGTGATACAATGGAAACGAACCAATAGACGTTGGCTATTTATTTGGAAGGTTTTCGACTGGAATTGTTTTAGTAGAGCTAGGTTAGTTCTTCTAGCAGAGCCACCCAATCGGCCGTTTCCTATGGTTTCTCTTATCAGCATCAGGCGCATGGCAGCGTAGTGCTCTAACCAACAAGTGATGGACCGTGCGTGATCCGTATTCTTGTTACATCGCCTCCCTTTCTGCATCCACTTTCCTACCGCACATGTTGGAAGCACTACCAATCAGGAGCTTAGAGCTTGTCGGGCAAGGCCAGAGCTCCTGTGAAGGATATTCCTCAAGAGGAAAACTCCTGCAATCCAGAGTAGGTCGTCTTCGGAAACAATGTTCCAACGGAGGACAACCATTGGAATAGAACATGAACTATGTTCCTATTGAATCGGAAAATAGCAGCAGTGACAGAGGACCCGAATTAGTATTAAATTTCGGTCGGCCAACGTCAGACATTTTCGTGATCACGAATGACATTTTCCCGACGTTATCCGGAAACATCAGGTGTCTGACAAAGATGTGTTTCATTTGGTTTTGCGCGTCCGATATCCACTGACCGAAACCGGCCAAAATCGGCTGGTCTGTGACCGCCGCCTAAGGCAACGATCAAGTGCAGCCGAAATATCGGACGCTCGCCACCGGACGACAGTGAGCGACATCGTTCGACGTATTTCATACGAAAAACACCCAAATGTTGCCCTTCAAAGCGCCCTAATATTCCCATAATTCCGCGGTTTATTTTTTCAAACATTTGTGAGAAGCATACCCAAGGCCATCTATACGTATTTCAGGTGGTCTTTGTATTACTGATGACCTGGACTCTTCCACTGATTTCGGGAGAATGGAACCGACAGAATCAAACGAAACAGATGTTCGTCAGATAGCCGATGTTTCCGGGTGCCGTCGGAAGAGCTCGTTCGGTTTCAATATGTCCATTTCAATTTAACAGCATAAGTTTACATTTGAACGAATGGGCATATCGGATGCAAACTCCGACTTCAGCCGGCCGAACCGACCGACTTACGAGAGTTATTTCATTTTTCAATTAAAATCACAGAAATCGCCTCTATGACTGACGCCTTACGGGAGTTACGGCCATACCAGTTAACAAGCTCGAAAACAATAAATACTCATTCATTAATTCATAGTCTCAAATTTGGATATGAAGGGATTAAAAATGTTTTATGGTAACCTTATCGAAGAGAAAGGAAAGGGAAAGGAGGAGAGTGTGTGTATATGTAAGAGAAAAGAAAGAAAGAAGGAGTGTGTGTGTATGTGAGAGAGAAAGAAAAGAGAAAGGAGTGTGTGTGTGTGTGTGTATGTGAGAGGAAAGAGAAAGGAGTGTGTGTGTATGTGAGAGAGAGTGTGATGAGTGAGAGTGTGAGTCAGAATACGAGTGATAGTGTGATTGAGTTTGAGTGTGAGGGTGTGTACGTGTGTCAATTTCCACCACAAACAGAGCGGGAGTAGATATTCTCTCGCCTCCGGCGCGATCGCGTAAGGCGGGGTTATCAGAGTGACCGTTGGCCACGGCAGCAGCAGCGGCGGCGGCGGCGTCGACGCCCTCGCTAGCACAGCCCACACTCAGCTCACGATGGCTGCCCGGGTGGCGTGCGTGCTGACGCTGGCGCTGGCGGTGGCGGCGGTGGCGGCGCAGCAGTGCTCGCAACTGGCGGCGCACTACTCGGTGCTGGCGACGCAGGACGGGCCCGGGCCGTGGGCGGCGGAGCTGAGCGTGCGTCGCCATGCGCAGAGCGCGCGCGAGCCCATGCACTTCGGCGTGCGGCCCGCCGCCACGGCGCACGCCCACAAGGTCACCGTCACGCTCGCAGGTGAGTGCGCGCCCGCGGGAACTGCAGCAACTACGTATATGCTGGGCTATCCAGGATGAGCCGCGTGTCGGTCAATTGTGCCGCGTTTCGGCCATCTTGCTGTGGCCTTTTCCAGAGCTACCCTACTCAGAAGTATAGCTCTGAAGAAGGCCACAGGAAGATTGCCGAATCGTCAGCACAATTGACCGAGACGCGGCTCATCCCGGATAGCCAAGCATGGCTTGACTCCCTCCGCGGAAGCCTACGAACGCATACTGTAGTAACTACACTAGCGATTAAAGTGATTCGAAACTTGCACTGTGCATGCGCAGAAGATCGATAGTCCTTTAATGTTCGAAGGTGCACAAACTCCCTAACTTTGAACATCGACTTGGTATCGATGTGACACTACTATCCTAAGATTTATTTAGTCACGCACTTCACGTGAATCAGCTGTTCACTGTTTGCTTCCCACCGCAACTGCTAATTTACGTCAAGTGCACGACTAAATAAATCGTAAAGGCTCTATTTTGCATCCGGCCACAAAACTCCGTAACGAGATGAGACGCTGCTCGAGTCCCGAGCATGGGTGACAGTCACGTGTCATGTGATTACCCGCGATATATTCTTCGATTTATTTAGAGCTGCAGTTGACAGGTCGTCAGCTATTACGGTTTCATCCAACCGGGAGCTTGACGTCACTACCGTGACGTCAGCGCTGACGTTTAATCTCCCGATGGATGACGCCGTAACAGCTGATTTACGTCAAGTGCAGATGTGTTTAAATCAAGAAGAGGCTAGCGGAGCGAACTGCCGAGGATATTGGAGTTTCAGATAAATCTCGGGGCAGATGCGTGTAATCGCATGTAGATGTATTCGCGAGCTTCAGCTTTGCGAGGTGTGACTTTCGTCATCAGTGTTGCCAGATGCTTCGTACGAACATCCGCCGTTACATGGCTGCAAATCCTCTCAATTCCGCTCAACAAGAAGAATTCTACTTTTCAAGCAGAAAATTTGAATATGCATTAAAATTATACGTATATGAACATTTTTTGAGGTAGTGTCTCTGTGAAATGCGGATTAGTTTTATTTTTGGTTTTTAAACATTGTAATTAATAATTTATGTAAAAACGTATTATTTTTGCAATAATAAGTTGTATTCTAATAAATACAACACACTAAATTTAAAAATTACTTTTAACTATTCGCATGTCTACAGCTGACGGGAGGAATATTTTAAGGGATAAAATAATTATTTTCAAATAAGATTTTTGGATGATTGTATCTAAGCTGTAGTAATGTGATATAAAATATACTAATGCTGGCCACGACAAAGAAGCTATAACTTTTAGAACACACCCTACTAGAGATCTAAAATTACTTTACCCCTGACGTACGATTACTAACATTATTCACTTCTCAAAGTAAATTTGAACGAATTAACAAAGGATTAAAGAAAAATCGGGTATGAAATATAAAACTAAAAAAATAAACTCACTGTCAAAGTCGTAGGTGTTTCTTTTAATTCGTCGTAAAAAAAACGCCCAAAACTGCACACGTTTTTATGCATTTCCGCCCATTTGGCCGTATTCCGCGAAGTCAATTTTTGTCCCGCGTGAGATGATCGTTTTGCAGCCCAAAACGCGCAATTCCGCCCAATCTGGCAACCGTGTTCGCCTTGGGATAAGAGAACAGGGCCGGTGCAAGTGTTGGCTGAGTTTTCTAGTAGCTGGCTGGAGCGGATTATCTCAGAGGTTATAGGCTGCGAGCGCAGCGGTAAAAGTATTTCTTAGGAGTTGGATGTATTGTATATTGAATTTCTGTAAATAAATCTGTAAATATCAACTCCGTGTCTATGTTATTACTCTAATCACGACGCCATCACATCTTTTTTAACATCGGTGTTTTAAAGCTGGTTTAGTAATCATTTAAAATAAATTCTTTCGCAACAGAGTTTGATTTGATAATGGCCGTGTTTATTACTTTATAATTACGATGAAACGGACAATAAAATGTACATAATTTAGGAACAATGAGCCAAATGAATCCTGGGCCCCCAGGATTAGTCTTCAAGGGCACGGCAAGAAACGGCACGGCCGTACAAGTAAAGGGCATGCGTTGACTCGCTCTCCGAGTGTGAAACACGAAGAAAGGAAATAGGAATCATATCGGACGAGAAATATTCTGCTCAATGAACAAACAGTCTTTGTTTAGTTCGAACACAAAACCTGACAGTGGCACCAGCACTTATTTTTTCATATTTTAACTTTCACAAAATTGTGATTATGGAAAAATTTCGTTTACAAACAAAACATCAATGTTATAAAACATCGATGTTAATAAAATCAATGTTAAAAAAAACTCAATATTAAAAACATCCGCTTCAATACACCGGCGTTTCATTAAAAAGTCGATGTTTTGAAAACAGCAACATCGATGTCGCATCCCTAGCGAAACATAAAGAATGGTAGAAACCCTGTGGCAGTGCGTACTCTAGCAGAATATCGAGGCTCTCTTTCAATCCACGCCACGATATCTAGAGGTTGTGATGGCGCCCCGTGGCGGCTTCACACTGTACTAAATACTCATGGTCAAAACGCATTACAGTTCTATTATTACAATCATTTGTGTATTGTGATATTCTTAATCTGTGGAATAAATTTCATTGTAATACTACGACTCCTTCTTAGTGTTGCAATTTCCACAAACTGACCAAACTGTCCGCGTATTTGTGCGTCGACCGGGCTTACGAGCAGGGGCTCATGCCTAGGTCCTCATCCTCGAGAGAAATCCCGGGTATAACATAAGTTGCAGGTAAATAGCACAATAGTTTCGCATACTGTTGTACTACCATTGTTCTTGTGTTATCTGGCGCTATGTTTCATTAAAAACCCCATTTGTGTGAAATCATTTGCATAAATTCTCTTTACGAAAACGACTGTTTCTGAGCACCCATTTTAACTTGTCAGCCGCTGAACTACGTTCTGTGATGTTATGGAGGTGAAGCAGCTCAAGACATCGAGGATCTCTGGATGGGTAACCGTCTGGAAACCCCGAATACTATTGGCTCCGCGCCGAGCCCCTGACCGATAGAGATTGAGACTATCACATTATGACAAAATGGCTACAAAAGTTGAGAATTACTCTGACATTAATGCCGACTAACCGAATAAAGGCTTACGACGTGGTTACGAGAGTAAATAACAAGCCAAAAAATTTGTTAGCTGAGTGCAAGCATAAAACAACGATACCTTTAAAGGTTTCAGAATATATTGTCACTGGAGTGTCGACTTTGAATAACTTTTCAGGGTTGATATGGGAGAGCTACCAGTGCCCAATGCACATGCGCGAACCAGGCACAACGCTCCACAGAACGATCTCCGCAAATATAGGGACTCTTTGACCATGATAGCGTACAGCAAAACGACTGCACTTTTGAGCCTCTGCGCATGCGCCAAAACGCGTAGTGGCGCAGGCCGCTTCTCCCCTCCCCGCGGAGTGACAATTTTGCCTACGATAACACGTTCATGTGATTTCTCAGACTTCCCGAGATGTGCAGTTTCGCTTCGTTGGAGATGTGTGCTGTTCACCGCGAGGTAATTTTGACTGTCGGCGTCTGATTCAAGACTGCTGCCACGAGCTGCTTAGTGAGCCTCCCGTCATTATGATGGAGACGACCGCGTCGACGATCTTCGAGGCTTCTTCATCTCTGCCCTTAGGTGTCCATAAAAGACAGACATAAGAGTAAGGGTGGCATAAATGTATCAAACTCCGCTGGTAATGAAGTCTTGTAAAGAGATATTCACTCTATGATAATGAGAATGCTTTCTGACAGTTGTAGATACCTTCAACTTATTGTTAATCATTGCGAAGACTCATTGTCAGCTTTATGATCTTCAAACCTTTGTAATTGGCTCTCAATAAAGGTACTGCTGTTTCCGAGTGGCGGTGTAGTCTGGTGCTTCTACAATATCGTTGGTTGCCACATTTTCGTGTTGGATATCCATGATCAATCTGTAAAAATAAAACTGGCAATGTTGGCTCAGGGAATGAACTTATATCACTGCAGTGCCTTTGACCAAGAGTCCAAAAATTTAGACTCTGAGATCGGGATATTGTTACCGTTCGGTTTTGGTTGTTGGCGTTTGTGTTGTTGTTTGCAATTCTGTTGCGAGCGCTGACCCAAAGATAAAGCTTGCAGTCCGCTAAATTAATAATGCAATCACTTATAGCAGTTTTTAATTAGTGTCTATTAGTGGCAAGTTTTATCCTTTGGGAGTGTTGCTGTTTATGTTAGTAGAGGCTTGGGAACCTTCTATCCCCAGTATATTCTATCTAATTTCATTAACAATTATTGACTTGTCTTTAGTCACTAAGTTACAATAATTAAAACACTGATGACAAATTTCTATGTGGTAACTATTATAAAATTTTTATGTTTGAAATGCACAAAACAACTATGTAGTACAGGATTCTCTCAATATTGTTTTCATTGCCTTGTTTGTAGTTCTCCATTTTCAGGAACTCCTATGAAATAATATCAACAACTGTACTCTTTCCAGGATAGAGAACGATTATTTTGACATTTCTAAAACATTTGAGCATAGCTCAATGCATTATTCTGGTAGCCCAAGGTTATTTAGGCGATGAGCCAAGCGCCTGCTGATAATCCCTCGGAAGTGTCCGGTCAGTGAACTCAGTTACAGATTACTGATTTTGAACAAGATACTATACGCGCGTTTCCTTGATATTCCATACCGGGAGGTGTAGGGTCAAAGGTAGGAGGTGGCATTGTAAATTGGTTTGTGCCATTCCGAGTTGGACGTATGTATTGCGCTGGGCCAGGGCTAGATACCTCGCATTTGAAGAAAAATTGCACGAGCAAGTTTCTTCCAATATCCTCACTAAAGAAAATACAGTAAGCATTAAAACAAATCATGTCGATAAGTTCGTCAGAATATTAAAATGAATTCTTCGATAAAGAAATTTAAATTGAATACAT